GGAGGAGGGGCCGGGTGGCGCTCGCCTGGGCCGGTGCCTTCCGTTGTGGCTTCCTGAACTAAAAGGAAGGGTGCCCAAAGCGGGGGAGCGTCTGGGCCGGCCCAGGATGGGTCTCAGCCGCAAACGGGATAGACCAGGTAAGGAGATGAGCCCTCTCCGCCCCTGTGATAACCGGCCTCACCCAGTGCCCGCTCAAGTCAGGGAACAGGTTTGGGACCATCCGAGACAGCAGACTGAGGGACGGGAGGGGAGAAAGGTCAGGAACTCCGTGCATGGAAGATGCTGGAAGCAATGAAAACAGCAAAGCTGGCAAAGGCGCGGGGCCATCAGTCACAGCCGTCGGGCAAGATGGGGCTTGGGCAGAGGTTGGATGAGCAACAAAGAGCAGCGCAATCTTATAGCCTGGCTGCCGTTACTCATCGTACCTGGGAGGGCAGAATTTGAGTAAACCAGAGATTGACAGTAGCCCAGAGGACAGAACAGCTGTTCCCAGAAAATGAGCAAGCTCGGCCAAAGTGTATTTGGCAACATCAGAGCCTTCTCATTTAAAAGAAAAGCGCCTGTGCCAAAGCGAGAACCCTGCAGTAACACTGGCTTTTGAAACGTGCCTTTACTCCCTTGGGGCTCATGATCCAGGCTAGACTTAGCAGGAGAAGATGTAAAATTCAGGGGTGAGTGAAAATAAAGGGTTTTTGTGACATGGCCTGAGGGCACAGATAGCTTTCTACAGAAACTAGCTTTATCTAGGAGTACTTTTCACTGCAAATTGATGTGGCTTTTTTTTTTTTCTTTTTTTTTTTTTAATCCAAGAAAACCTTACTTTATTCTAGGTCTGTATCCTGAAGACTACAGGTATGCTAGATTATCCTGCAAGCAGGCAAAAATAAAAAAACAGTAAAAAACCCACATTTTTAGAAATACTGACAGGGCTCTGACAGAAGTGGGGAGGGTGAGTGTATGCTAAACACATCTAGCCTAGCAGGCAGTCACTTTTAAAAATCAATTCGATGGGTGAATGTACTGTTATCGACAGTATGTAGGTCACATGTGGCTAAAAACATGGGAAACCTGGAACCATAAACAAATTATTTCAGGACAGTAAGGCCGAAGCTGGTTTTGGACAAGTGGAATTAACAACAAATAAATATTAGCAAAGTTCCCCCACAGCCTTAAATCTTGAATTAAGAGTTAAATTGAATTTAAAAAATAGGTTTTAAAAAGCTAAAATGTTATGCTTGGGTGTTACCCTGGGCTAGAGCTTTTAAGAGATGCAACATGAGGCACTGTGTTACTGCAGCAGAGAAACCAAGCGATAGGGCCGCCGAGGTCAAGCTGTCGTCTAGATGGGAAACAACAACTGACCTGAGCAAGATGAAGATGAGCAAGAGGAGGGGATGATGCGTCAGAGGGCTCAGGATGGGTGTCAAGGAGAATTAGCAGTCTGGTATTGCAAGGCTAAAAGCCAAGCGCCCGGCTAAGGCCAGCAGCTCACAGGATTTATCAGCAGTGCGTCAGGTCCTAACGCATGAGCCTAGAGCTACTTCTTGCCCAAAAAAGCAGGGTCTTGAATAACCTTATTTTTGCACCAGGCAGCAAAAGGCAGGAGACCTCCCCCAAATTACTCCAAGCGTTTCCTGCTCCGCTCCTGCAGCGTTTAGAGCCCCAGGGGCGCCTGAAAGCCCCGCGCCGCGTCCGCAGAAACCGAGGCCCCTTCCCCTGACCTGGCTTCGTCCCAGGTCTGAAGTGGGACAAATGCAAAATGAAACACGCAAAGAAGTATTTTTCAGAGATTAAGAAGAACGTGTTGTGCCCTTGTTGCAGTTGCCGTAGCACAAACGAAATGCATGCCTAATGAAAACCTTCAGATACGAATTTCAAAAACACACGGTCTACTTACTTTGCCATCCTTCTTAAGAATGCTTGGAAAAATTTTTAAAAAGCAAACTCGTTAATACGTAATATTCAAGCAAAGAATTAAACAGCTAGACAGTCTAGATAGGTAATTAGCTACATTTAAACAACCATGGGAGATATCTCAAATGTTATACTTTGAAGCCATCTCTCCAATATTAGTAAATAATTACTAGCAATCTATTTTAACACTTGAACTGCTTTAAAAGGAGGAAAGTTTGGGTTTTTTTTTAAACATATGAAATTAAAATCCTTTGCTGCACCTTCAGAACTACCCATTTTCTCAGTGTAAGTCCTTAAGTTCCAGTATTTGTGAAAATGGTTGTTTTTTTTTGCAGATGTTTACATTTTCTGTACCGCTGGTGTCAGCGCTTGGGAGTCAAATGTTTCTGCCCCTGCAGCTCTGCAGGTCACACAGGCTCACTCCGAGTCAGCCAGGTTTGCAAAAAATATCCGTTTAAAACCCACATGGATTTTCCCCTCAAGATCTTCCAAAGGAACAAGTCCAGCAGACAGAGGTAGTGGTAAAAACTTAACCACTGCAGCTGCTTGTAAAGCATTTTTTTTTTACCCAGAGTCTAACTTCAGTCACTGAAGTATTGGTGTAAATCCCCGGTTTTAAGGAAGGTGAGGAAAAAGAGAAAAACGGCGCAAATGAGTTGAAACTGCAGCATAAAGCTAGACTCAGAACAGCAGGCTTCCCAGAAGGCTCTGGAATACTAATTTAAAGGCAAGAGATCATGGATTAAGTAGAGCTGCTCACTGACATAATAAGCCTGGGGGAGGAGGGAAAATGCTGGGCGATCCATTTCCCCCTGCCAAACACCCGAGCGCTGGGACCCGCCTGCTGCTTTCCGAGCCAGCTCTGGGAGCTGTGGAGGAAACGCTCCGGAGGGGCCAGCGTGCAGGCTGGGCCGTCACCAGGAGCCTTTCCGTGTTGTCAGACGGCTCCCGACGTCAGGGGGTAACCTGGAAATGCGGCCGTCCTCACCCTTAGTCAGGGAAGGACCTCGAGGCGGACGGAGGCGAGCTGGGAATAACCCAGCACGAGCTGGAGCAAAGCCAAACCTCCCGGGGCTCCCCCAGCTCAGAAACAAGGCAAAGCCCAGGCAGGGTGACCGACCGAGGGGAATCCCACAGAGAAATTAGAGCAGGGCGACAAACAGCCTTTGCCACCGACTCCCGTAATCTACACACAGCAGTGCCACCAGAGATGATCATGACAGTTTAAGTTTGGAAATGACTCTCCCTTATTCCACGACAGGCATAAGAAAACCCTCCCAAAGTTGACAGCAAGCAGCAGATTAAAAAAAAAGAAACAGAAAACTTAATCTTAAAAAAATGAGTGACATCTGGGTTTAATGCTCAATATTTAGCTTGCAGCTTTGGCTTTCACTGAACGCTGCACTAACCGCCCCAGATTTCAGAATATCAGGATGATACAGGCAGCTCTCATCCACAACAGGGATTAAGTTTTAAAAACACGCTATAATCTGAGCGCGGAAAGATTATTTTGAACCAGCGATCGAAGGGGGCCCCGAGGAGGTTGGGCCCCCGCGGCCGTCGGCGCGGCCGGGCCCCGTCTCCCCGCGAGCTGCTGCCGGCGGCAGGAAGGGGCCCCTGAACCAACATCCTCCTGCACAGGCACCCAGGGGCCTTCCGACACCTCCAAGGGCCTTGCACTTCTGCCTATGCCCCAGCTAACCGGGTCACCCCTTTCCAATTTAAGTGCGCTCAACATGCAAGATGTTGTTGAAGCAGCTCTGGGAAGCTGGTTTTGCTGAAATGGTTTTTAAAAAAAATAGGGATATCTAATTTCGGCTGCCATCAGAGTGAGGGATTAATTCCTGTAAACCTGCCAAAGGTATGTGGAGAAAAAGAAGGGCGAAGATAGTCGCTGTAGTCCGAGGCCCAACATGCTGGTTTGGGAACAGGGATAGCCAAGTTCTTCTTGAGAAAAGAAGGTGGACACCGACACTCTATTCCAGGAATTTCAACACCAACCCAAATCTATCAGATTCCTTACTAGGTAGGATTGGGAAATCCAACCTCTCCATCATGACAAGGGTTTAGGAGGTAATACCAGCCTTGAGCTGAGATGTTACAGAATCCAAGTTCTGTGTTAGGCAAGGAGAAAAACAGTTTAAATATTAATGATGAATTACGCAAGAATAGCTAAGCACGGAGGTAAAATAAAACTTTGTCAGCAAACAGCATATAGAGCAAATTGAACCTCTCCTGAAATTCTTCAGAAAAGCTGTGCTGGGAAACCTTTTAGAAACCCTATTTGGCCGAATGCGAAGCAAACCTCACATTTTCTTCAGAGCTGGTCATACCTGAGAAGCGGTTTTGCAGAATCCATGGCAGCTTTTCCTTGCACAGGTCTCCCAGTCCCCAACACCCCTTGCTGGAAGGGCACTCCAGGGCTGCCAGTCACACACACACATTTAGCTCGTGCATTAAATGCAGGTGGTCCATAAGGTGGGCCTTTTTTTTTTTTTTTTTTTTTTTTTGTAATCAGTCTGTCTCTGCAAAAAGCCTTTGAAGCACCTAGTTCCAGAACTAAACAACTAATCTAAAACTGCTGCTTCTCACGGGTATTCCATTTTAGCCTTTTTAACCAAAAGGGAACGTACCTGTTGTTTTCCTCTCTCTTGGCAGACCTTTTGGATAGATCATTTGGTCAAAAAGGTAAAGGATACTGATTACAAAATCTTAGCATCTTCCAAAAACTTTAGATGTTCGAAGACTATCAATTGTCTTAATTTACACGCAGTCCTCTGCCTCCTCCTCAGAGTGGTTGACATAATTTAACAACACACAAGAACACTTACAAAATTCACTAGTATTTCGGTAATATGGGATAGGTTACAGCATGAAAGTAATTTGAAATGTCTGAAGCTTTAAGCACATTATAATGGTAATAACTATTTCCAGGCTACAATTACTGTTTCTCACCAGACTGATTTCCTCGTTTGGGGGAGAGATTTTAATGACTCTTGCTAATTTAGAAATGCATTAAAAAAGAAGAAAAGTCTCGCAAAAGAAGCTTTCCCAGCTTTCGCACATTATTTTTCATTGCACAGGAAAAAAAAACAAAAGTATGAATTCAGGCAGCCTGGCAGTACTGCAGAAGAAAACATTCCCTCAGTTTTTCTCTGCTGATGTGAATCTTTTGAAGTGGAGCTAGTAATATACTCCTGGCTTTACTTCACCCTCTACTTTATGGGCCCATCTTAATCCCGACGGGTCTTGGACTGATGCTATCTTACTTTTTTTTTTTTTTCTCTCTCTCTTTCTTAATACATGTTTTCTTTCCAGGACTAGTACAAACTTAAAGTAATTGTCCTTACACATTTTTCTTAACTTGACTGTTGCCTTAACACATAAAAGCACGGAGCAAAATGGATCCTTGCAGGATCTTTATTTTAGTGGCTGTGTGTTTTCTATTTCAGAATTGTCTGAGATATTCAATTGATCTTCCAAGGCTTAAGAGGTGATTTAAGTTCTTTTCTGTTAAGTATTAAGGGAAAAATCTCAATTTTTTAAGCTATCATATATATGGACTTTACATAATTTGCAAAGGGGGTGACATCACAGACCGACATGAAGGGAGTGTTTTTATCATACCAAAGTGCCTCCAAGTGCTGCAGCGAGCACAGAATCACCACAGGATGCAGTGCAAAGCCACAGTATGCAAAATGGCAAATTTAACAGTTAGTTATTATCAGATTACTGCAGCCACAGATGCTGAAAGCAAATCGTGGGCAGACAGCGTAAGACGGCCGCGGTTTGGGGACAGGCTAACGCACAAAGCAGGATAGGGAGCTGGTTAACAAGGCACAAATTTAGCATTCCCGCATGAGGATAAGGATAAACCAGGAGCGGATTAATAAGCAACTCTACAGATTAGAGTCAGCAGCACGGCTTCAGAAAAGCATACCATGCTAATCTCAAAATGTGCTACGCAGAAATTAACAAAACAGTTCAGGAAGTTTTGAAGCGTTTATGTAGCGGACTGATCGTTCTTCCCCTGGGAGAGACCAGGCCTCACCTCCCTAGGCTGTCCCCTGTATCCAACTCAGCTGCTGCTCGGGACATTCCGGAGAGGGGAAGGGGCCAAGGTCCCGGCCTGGGAGCCCCTTCCCAAGGGGAAGCCTCCGGGCTCTGGGGTGGATGCCGGGTGCTCGGGAAGGGGAACGTGGCCGTGGGGACCTGCTCGGCGTCACTGCTCGGCGCCGTCGGGACCGGTGGCGCCTGGGGCGGCCCCGGGCACGGGCTGTGGGGGCATCGCTGCCCAGATGTTTTGTCTCGTTTTCCCACCTGCAGCAGCCCCTCCGGGCGCCACGTCCCGCGTTTCCCCCGCTCCCCTCCATCGTGCCTTGCAGCTGCACTCCAAGCTTTGCTTGACAGAGAAATATCAGCAAATCGCTCGTGATTTTCATGCCAGAGAGCCATGGATCTTTTCCCACGCTGACGTGGGAAGCTTTCTTGCATTATGCCCTGCCTTTAAAACAGCATAACCACAGGGAACAGCCACTGTACATGGACACTATCAAGGACCCATCTCAGTACCTCCAAGAAATAATAACCCCTTTGAAGTATATTGCTGTGTTTGCAGAACATTTATTTTCATTCCCAGGGTTATTTTAATGGGAATGAAAATTTAAGGAGCCACGATGGAAAACGTCCAGCCTCAGACAAGCTGAAGAGAGAGGTCAGGAGTGCTGAGATCAGGGAACAAACAGAGCCCAAAGCTGCAGGCCAGACTCACAAAAATAAAGCAAAACACTGCTCGCTGTTTCTCGTTACCTATAAACCCATTTATACCGTTGCTCAGCACAATGTCCTAGTACAAAACTTGTCTGTGAAATTAAGGTCAAGGATATACTTGTAATCTGCAGTTGTGTTTGTGGGGGGTCAAAGTGACACATTTGAGCAGAACCCATTCTACTAAAAAAAGCCTGTTTCTGCTGTGTCTATATTGAATGGAGCACAGCAGAGATAAATTACAAAGCAGTTCTGCACATCATCAGCTCCCTGCCTCTCCCCCTGCACCAGATGGTGAAGGAGTCTGTTCCATTTATTTGGAGCCTGCCTCAAATGTCTTTGTAGTGCTTAAAAATTCTGTAACGCAGAAAAAGTCACATTAAAGAAAGCATATAGGAAACTTACGATCTTTGCGGATGTGTGAAAACATAAGACTTTTCAGGGCAACAAGAGAAAAACTGATCGGTTAACAAATTGCTCCTCAGAAATCTTCCTTTTCAGGAAGGGCAGCAAAGGTGATTTTCTGAAAAGCGACCCTCTCTTCTCCAGAAAAACTAACAGAACGTGACGAGTGCCTGCGTCCACTTTGACCTCATGCTGCTGTTGAAATGAGCCATCAGAAGGTTGTGAAGTGTTACCCCTGCTCGGGCGAACGTTCAGGTTAAAACATGTGCACCAAATGAGAGGGCAGTAAGAACCAATTCCTGCCATGCTTCCAAACAGCTTGAATCAGACTTTCATGATTTAGAAAAAGCAGAAACTCCGTCATCCTCATTAAAGTAATTTAGAAACCTGATCAACAAAATACCTTTTTTTCTTTTTTTTTTTTTTTTTTTTTCAGCAGATCATGCAGCAATCTATATGTTTGCATTAGAGAAGGGGTAACCTTGCTTAAACCACATCCTCGAATCAGAAGGCCAAACATGACACTGAACTGCCATTCTCACTTTATTCTTCTGTCCCTTGCAAACACATTTTGAGCTGTAATCATCACTGCTGGGGGAAATGAAGCTCCATTAGAGCTATGTTTACATAGGGGAATATCAACAATCTGTGAAGGAATGTGAATAAACCCAAATAGAGAGCTTCTTCATCAAAGAGTCTGCTCATCCTCCAGGAATATATTTAAACCTCTCCACAGACACTCCCAGGATGATGCAGATCCTTCTGTGTGGCATGCCACTCTCTATTTTATTCATCAACTGAACAAAAATGGCAATCCTGCGTAAGAGGAATAATGTGATGTATCACATGTCTCATTTCCTAAAGAGAATGAAACATCCATCCGACAGTCTGGTGATTCACTGATTTTTGACAGAATGTGGAGACCCTTTCCAGCCCCCACACAGGGAGACACCGGGACCTGCCCGCGTTGCTGCCGCGCTGACCTTCACTCCGGCCCTGGCAACAGCTCCTCGCGCTGCCCTCCCTCCCTCCGCGCAGGGAACCCGCGGGGTCTTCAGAACACACGTGGTTTCCTCTGTCTAAGTTTACTGCCAAGCAACTGCAATTACTGACAACTTTTAAGCAGCAGCAAGTGGGAAAAAGAGTGTTAAAACCAACATAAACAGATATCAAATACAGAGACAATACTGGGTTAAAAGAGAGTAATTTAAAAATAACTTCCTGATCTGTAGCATGATTATCAGACTATTTAAGTATCTTGGGCTCCATGAGTTACACTGCTATTCTCATTTTCCTCATGCTGGAAATACTAAGTTTAAGTGCGCTGTCTGTAGCAGCGGTGAAAAAATTCCTGTTAGAAAACGTGATCCCATCATCGTTGTTTTTAGCCATGGGAATATAAATGATACCTTTGTGAGGGCACATGCTAATGAAAACGCATGAAGTTCAATTCCATGTAACATTTTAAGAACCATATACATATTAGTAAAAAGAAATGCTCCTTTCTAAAATAATCTATACTAGACAATTTCAAACTTACCCTCTTATTTCAAGGAATAAAGTTACATCTCAAGACCAGTTAATATCCATTAAAACTCATTCAGTTTAATTAGACAATTACTGTCCAAGCAAAAGTCAAAAGCAGATGTTGAATTTCCATTGAAAAAAGTTAACTTTGACCTTTGATTATTGTTTGTCTCAGATAATATTTGCTTCAAAAATTAAAGTTATTACTACTGTAAGGATTCCACCTTTTAAAATAATATTAATAATAAAAAGAAACAAATGAAAATGTGTAGGAAAATAAACGAAATACAAAGCCGGCAGAAGCCGGATCGGGTAGACGTGCCCCAAGGCACTCTCAATGCAGGCACGGAAAGGAGCCGCTGA